ATTATAAATGAAATAAACAGAATCCGATACCAAGTATGAATATAATATAAATATACACACGCCAGGTTTTATCTTCTCGCAATTTTTTTTGTTTACGAATAATTGTTGACACCTTGTCCGGTGGACAGAGCCGAAAGAAAAAAAATTAAAATTAAATTAAATAATTAAAAAATTGAATTTTTAAAATCGTTCCAGAATTGCGAGCTAAAATGTGGACGAAAAGTTCTTCACTTTTCTGCTATTTACGAAGAAACGGCTTGGCTGATCGTTGCGCAAAATTGATAAACGCTAGTCCTCATCGAGAAATATCGAATGACTTAAATTTTTGAAATCGGTCCAGCCGTTTTTGAGAAAACGTCTACGGAAAAAATCTGTTCGCATACACACGCATATACTGTTTCCAAATTTATTGTTATTCGATTCAGAATGGCTTGAAACGTCAAGAAAACATAAAGTTAGCGAATCGGATTTTTTTATGAAAACAAACTTCTTCGGGAAATTTGTAATTAAAGAAGCTAAGTCAAAAATCAACTGGTTCAAATTTGATTCAAATTCTAAACTAGAAAAAATTGCTTTTACTTCTTAGTGAATTTATTTCCAAAATTTTGAGATATTTCAAAAAATATTCAGAAATAATTGAAAATCCAAATTATTTACTAAATGAAACGCAAAAATAGACAAACAAAAGGACAAAAAATTAAAAATTCAAAAAAATTAAATAGCATAAATAAGTAACATAAAGCGTTATATATTTAAATTTCAGTGTAAATGTAAAACTTTTAGAATAAATCTAAAAATGCAGAATAATCAAAAATGACATCCTAGAAAATCAAATTAAAAGCTATATGAAAATCATAAAAATTAAATTAAAAGCTATAAGCAAAATAAAGAAAAAATACTTAAAATAAAAAAATGTTTGAAACAAAAATGTTTCGAATAAAAAAATTGAAACATGAATAAAATTATATATAAAATATTACAAGTTAAAAAACAAAAATTAAAATTGGTATAAATTAAAAAAAAAGTAAAAAAGATTTAATTAAAGAAATTTTTTAAATAAAATGATTAAATATTGAAAAGTTAAGATAAAATATGATGAGTTACAGAATATTATTTGAATAAGACAAAAAAAAACTCAACTGACGAGTAAATTGAAAATTAACTTAATTAAAAAAAATGTAACTCGATTGACGAGTAAACTGAAAAATGAGCAATCAAAAAAGATTTAATTTAAGAAATTTTTTAAATAAAATGATTAAATATTGAAAAGTTAGGATAAAATATGATGAATTATTTATTTATATTATTTGAATAAGACAAAAAAAACCCTCAACTGACGAGTAAATTGAAAATTAACTTAATTAAGAAAATTGTAACTCGATTGATGAGTAAACTGAAAAATGAGCAATCTGTATTTGTACCTACTGATCACCGTTGACGTCACTCAAATAAACAGGTTGAAATATCATGAAGTTTAATTCAAAATTTGAATTCCCAAACTCTATAAAAAAATATTAATAAATCCAGAAGCAGATCTTCAGAAACCATCAATTTTGAGAAGAAATCAAAATAATAATTATTACCATTGATTACGGTTTACTTAAGAATACACCTCTGTATTCGATCTTTGATAAAACCTCAACTCGACTTCTGCAAAGGTGCAAAGTTGGAGATGTAGGAATTCGTCTGGAGATTAATTGGACGTGCCAAACTTTGTAAATAATAAATGAATGAATCGAAAGAAAAAATTAAACACAAAACAAAGTCAAGGTGGGCAAACGTGATGATAATTATGAAGAATTTCAAAGTCAGCGGAAAAACGTCCATCTGATACGAGACGAAGAGGAAAAATAAGCTGAGGGATAGAAAAATAATATCATAAATATAAAGTTTCAGCAAGGTACAAAAATTTACAATTATTTTATTTTTATTAAATTATTTGTGATATCCAAAATTTGATTAAACAACAAAAATAAAGATAGTCCGATATTTATATTTCAATATTTACATACGATGAATGCTACAGCATACGCGTCAAGTATTGCGCTTCTATTTTACACAATTTGCTTGCCTAAAAAGTTAATCAGAGTGACTATTGGAAAAGATAAGAATAGCAAAATATATAAAGCATCCGTTGGTCATTATCTTGACAGGTGTAATAATTACAAAAAATTTAAGTACACTAGCTGACCCGGCAAACGTTGTTTTGCTAAGTAAGGTATATACAAAACAATTTCTAGAGAATCAAAAATATTAATACTTTAAGTATATGAGGATGTGTTGTTTGAATGCTATATACAATGATATATTATTAAAACAATAAACCCCATTATTTTGTCTATATTTTGTCAATGCAATCAAACTGCAATTTTATACACTTTTTATAGAAAACATGGTAAAATCCAATGCAAGTCTTTTTTGGTCTTTCGACTTATTGATTACGTTTTAAGTCTTTGAGATTCTTTTTGGTTTCTGGATTTTGTGTATAATTGTAAATAAAACTACTAAGCTTATACAAAATTTTCAAATTTCTGCCAGGAGATAGAAAATGAATTAAGCATTTGTTTAACCTGCTTTTTGAAAAGTTTCAAGTAACATTCGATGAATTAAAGTAAATTTAATAAAAAGTATATATGTAGAGCAGGGCGCGGCACAAAGGTCAAATTTGACTTCGAGAAAATATTAATTATATCATAAAAATCAAACCAATTACATCACAACAAATAACACATTTCAAACGAACAATTATCTAACTACGTTCAGTGAAATTAACAGCTACTTCATCATTGTAGAAATGTGCTTTTTTGCTGTCTTTCAAAAATTGTTATGTATACCCTCCTTTTACCCTATAGACGGAGTAACTTGAAACGGCCAGGTGACAAAAAGGTTTAATGTCATATTTTAATTTTAAAGGTATTTTACAAAATAATTACATTTTTAACTGATGCTAAAAAACTACCAACGGAAGAAAATACTTTTATTATGGATTTTCAAAGATTACCGTTTATCTCCAGATAGCAGATAAGAATCAAGGTTATAGTTGGTTATACATCTTTTTCCCTCTACTTTCAAATACTGTTGTTAAACAATGCTTAACTCGACTGGTTTTTGACACATCCCTGATGGACCTTTTAACCCCGGACCTCCATATATTACTATCTATTCTTCGATAAATTCTGGGAAATTATAACTGGGAAAATGTTATTCGACAAAATGTCCCTTTGATTGATACCAAATTTAGGTTCTGAATTTAAATAACATAAATAAAAAATAATATAATCAAGAAAATGTTTTATAAATACCAAAAGACGTTTTGTACCTTTCTACATTATTTCATCCTATTATTTTTTTAAGATTGTTTTTAAATAAAATTAAAAAAATAAAATTATTGTTTCGACCGTGACAGGACTCGAACCTGCAATCTTCGGATCCGAAGTCCGACGCCTTATCCATTAGGCCACACGGTCGGTGGCAAAAATGCCACTCGGTGCGCAGATATACGAAACGAGACGACCGGCGGCTGACGGCAAGACAGGGACAGCAACAAGGTTCACGGGTCACTCTATCGCGCTCACGCCCGGTAGGATAAAGGAGTAGGTGTAAGTGGCATTTGGTGGCCTTAGGGCAAGTTGCATGAACTCCCAAAAAATACTTTGAAAATAACTAATAAAAAATTTTGAACAGACAACAGTGTCTTAGCACTACATTGATTAATTCTAGCTTATCAAAAAGAACTTTTTTATATGAAATTATTCAATGGGCTTCCGAAAGAGATAAAGATGATCAAAGAAGAGAATGAATTTAAAATTAAGTTAAAAGTAAATTGTAAAGAAAATTTAGACTAGTGGTGTATGGCATGGTGCTTTAAGGCAAATTGCTGGAACTTCCCGTACCGTACTGAAGCATCCGAGAAATTTTAAGCGTTCTCAAATATATTATATTATTACAAATGCTGTAAGTTTCATTATTTTTGCTATCTAGTTATATCTGAACAAATCAAATGTAAATCATAAATCAATTTATCTCCAGAGAATTTTTGAACCAAAATAAATAACAAAAATATTTTAGGAAATTAAAAAAGATGTAATCAAAAACTGCCATTTTTTGCACATTTAGCTCTGTATTTTCGAAATGGCTGGACCTGTCTTTGCCAAAAAACTAATCACCTCTTCTCCCAATAATTACAAATTGAATGTTTCTAAGATCATTCAAATCCGATACTCCGTTCTCTCAAAAACTCGATTTCTATTTTCTGCACTCTTTGCTCCGTATCTCCGTAACGGCTGTACCTGCCTTTGCCAAAAACTAATCAGCCCATCTTCCTATCAATAGGAATCGAATGTTTTTTAAATTCATTCAAATCGGTTGATCCGTGCGTCCGAAAACGTGGACGAAAAATTGTATCCATACATACATACAAAACACACACACACATCAATTTTTTCTGAGGTATGCCAAAATATTCAGAAACGTTCAAAACGTCGAGAAATGCAAAAATTTACAATTTCGAAAATTTTGAAATTGGTCCAACCAAACCATTTTTGAGAAAGAATCGCCGAAAGGTCAAACATCGGGTCACAAATACACACACGCACATACTTTATCCAAAATTTGGTCTCATTCGATTCAGAATGACTTGAAACGTCGAGAAAACAAAATTATCGAATCCGATTTTTGCGCGAAAACCAAGTTCTCCTCTTCAGAAAGTTTGTAATTGGGATTTAGCATATAACATATTTTTATAAATTTATTTTAAGTAACAAACAACACCAAAACAATGATGAACAAACTAAAAATATTAGGCGGAAGGGATTCTACTGACGAGCTAGCTAAGTAACATCAGGCCAATTATAGTCAAATTTTAATAAAAACATTTATGTTAGTAAAGTACAGTGCAATAAAAGTACTGCGTTATAAGAAGACTGTCGCATTTTCAACCGCGTTATGACAGGGTTAACTGTATATGTATGCACGAAAGAAAATAAAATTAAAATAGACTTACCTTGATCAGTGTCTGCCATTTCGCCAACTGGAACGATCTGCAAAGAAGAAAAAAACATTTTTATTTTATAATTAATTAAAAATTATCAAATTAAAATAATTTCATAATTTAATTTTAGTGAAATCATGAAAAATATAAAATGAGTTAAATAATAGAATTAAACTCTAAACAAGAGTGAAATTAAACGGAGATTTAAAAAAAATCAGTGAGGTAAATTATATTATTTTAAGCTAATTCTATTTATTTTTTTATAAGAGTTTATAAGAGTATTTTATATATAAAATTATTTTATTTTATCTAGTCTTTTTTTAGTTCTTTATCATAGCATACTATACAAAGCTATATTTTATTAGAGGTATATATTATTTGACTTTAGTTTTTAGATAAACATTATGTAATATAATTTTTACCTCAGGTACGATGCAGCCCACACCATGTCTGCTTCCATACACTTTGGATTTTGCACAAGCTATTTAATTAATTTCATTAATTAATTTACATTAGACTTAACTAGCACTGCACAACACTTTTTATTTTGAAATACCTGAAGAAAAAAAATTCAATAAGTTGGAAAGGAGGAAATTATTTACAGAAGCACTACACAACGCTGACAACGCTCACTCTCATTTTAAAATACTTGAGCAAAACATAAAAAAGTAGGAAAAGAGATGAATTTTTCTTTACAAAAGCACTACAAAACACTAACGTTTATTTTAAAATTACTGAAGAAAAAAAATCAAAAAGATGCAAAACAGAGCAATTTTTTTACAAAAGCACAACATAACACTTTAAAAGACCTGAAGAAAAAAAATTCAAGAATTTAGAAAAGAAAGAATTATGAAAAATATATATAGAAACTATTGGTTGCTTTGACACAACTTTTATCGACATTTGAAATGGAATTTTGCATTTTCAGTGAACGAGTTAAAACAGCAAAATAAAAAATATTGTGAGAAGGACTTATTGAAATACTAAATTAACCCAAAGTGTTCCTAAAATATAGCATATTTTCATTTTGGTATTTTAAAAGATTTACCCAAGTTGTAAGGAAAAAATTAAAACGAAATTCAACCTTTATTGATCGAGTTCCCACTACAAAAATATAAGATGGTCTTTTTAAACTGATAAATTTATCGCTTGATACAATTCTCGATATGATGCCTTTTTATTGTTCTCGTATTTTTATAATTTTGAACAAAAATTATAAAATGAAATAAAATTCAAACCTTAGTGAACGAGTTAAGACAGCAAAACTAAGGTATAATGGTTCGATGGGCAAAGAAAAATGTTATAAGAATTTTTTGTATTACATAAGGATCTCAAAGGGTTCTAGAAATATCGAATTTTTAAGTATTCTACTTATTATATCAAAAGTAACATGTTTATATGAATGAAGTGTATAAATTCTAAAATATTTCAAAAGGTTCTCGAGGTAATGCAAAACATAAAAATATGTTTTCGTATGTTTATATAGATCTACACGGATTGCAATGAAAACTAAATAATGAAGTAACATTCAACTTTTAGTGCAAAAGTTATAACAGCAAATCGGGAGTCTCATGATTCGACGGAAAATAAATTATTTTTATAGATTTACCTAATAATAAGATGCAACGAAAAAAATAATGTGAACGAATTAAAACAGCAAATCGAGACTATTACAGTTCGATGGACAATAACAATGTTAACAATATAACATTGACGGCGAATTTCTAAATTACCGCAAAGGATTCTCGAAATAATGCATTTTTACTTTTCATGATATTCATAGACATATAAATCTTTAACTATAGGGACACACTTATGCATTTATATCATTTATCCCTTATTACGATTACTATTAATGTCAAACCACGCAAAAATTCATCTAACATTATGTATCAACTCACCACGAGGTTAACCCCAAAATGCATTACCATTATCGATGCATTTACAATTCGCGTATAACTTTCGAGCCATTCGAGGAATATACATAACACTCGTGCAAAATTAAATAATTTAATATCACTCACGAAATAAAATAGAACCCGATGAAAGTTATTAACAATTCGGCCGCCTCGCCGGCATGAAACTGCATAATTTTGCACAAGAAAGACCCACGTGGTTTGCATGCACCAAGCCATTGTCATGGCAATGGCGTTTGGCCTGTTGCTAGGCAAGAGGAAGGGAGGTTTGCACTAGAGTTAACAGAGATGATCAAGGTTCATAGAGTAATAATAATTCGAAAATTTATATTTATGTTTAATTTAACAAATTCAGTACTATGACTTAAAATTGTTTCTCATACTTATATAAATCACTAGCAAACCCGACGAACTCCGTTTCGCCACCAGATGGTTTCGTGAGAAAGATGAAGACATTTTTTGTTTGTTTTATATTTGAAAGAGAAAAAATTTGATTTTATTACACAACAGTAATGAATTTATTTCGATTACAAAAATGAAGTGTTTTTTAGTTGAACTTCTCTAAGTAAATGAAAGTGAATCCGCAAATTATCCGTTTCATTGAAGTGCTCTTTGGTAAACCACATTTTTGTTTTTTGGTCTGACGTTAACACAAACAAAGCGGATGGTTTTCCAACTCGTGAACAGGCAACTTTAACTGTCTATGTGAAAAATAATGATTTTCTAAATAATCTATTTGAAATTTATTTCGCAAACACTAAGCGATACCCCTTGCGACTTGTTATTGCGAAATGGAAATTGCAATCGTTTGAAGTCAAACGAAAGACCAGTCGGAATCATTGGTATGTCACCAAATCGCCAGCAATTTTTGATTGAATGGTGAAATTCAGTGCGTGTACATCATTATTCTTTGCAGCATGAATTGCTCGTTGACTTAACCAAGCATAATGCTGATAATTCTCACTAATGCCATTACTCGTATTTTTAATTACGGTGCGTGAGTTTCCAGCAGCTTGCATTAAGGCACGATGCCATGCCCAACTAATTTTCTTAGCTATAAACCTTGCGGAGCCCGAGACCTTTCCAACGAATGCAAAATTGTCGAAATCGGTTCGTGCGTTCTGGAGTTATATCGTCAGGAAGGAAAACCCGACGTATTTTTATATAAATGTAGATATATATATATATATATATATATATATATATATATATAAATTGTTAGAACTGTAATTTTATTTATTACATATTCTTGAAATTTTTATTTGCAGCTAAATAGTCAAAGCAAAAGCAATAAGTAATTTAACACAATTCATTGTGTACGTTTCGACGCTGTATGTGTCTCATCAGATTTTGAACTTCTCGTAGAGTAGTTATTGTAATGGACCGAAAATCGAAAATGAAAATTTTTGCATTTCTCAACGTTTTGAAGGTTTCTGAACATTTTGGCATACCTCAGAAAAAATGGATGTGTGTGTTTATGTGGATGTGTGTTTTGTATGTCCGCAAATTTTTGTCCACGTTTTCGGGCACACGGATCAACCGATTTGAACGGTTTAAAAAACATTCGATTCCTATTGATAGGGAGATAGTGCTGATTAGTTTTTGGCAAAGGCAGGTCCAGCCGTTACGGAGATACAGAGCAAGGAGTGCAGAAAATACAAATCGAGTTTTTGAGAGAACGGAGCATCCATTTGAATGATTTAAAAAACATTCAATTTGTAATGATTGGGAAAAGAGGTGATTAGTTTTTGGCAAAGACAGATCCAGCCATTTTAAAGATACAGAGCTAAATGTGCAAAAAATGGCAGTTTTTGAGTGAACTAATCGTTCGATTTGAATGATCTAAAAAACTTTCTGCTTGCTTCTAAGGATGAAAAATTATTACATCTTTTTTTATTTTCCATGAAATATTTTTGTAATTTTGGATTAAAAATTCAAAAAATCAACCGCTCTGGTTCAAATGTTTACCCAAGTGCGTTTAGACTATTTATGTACAGGTGCAGGACTGTAACTATACGGGAGCACTTTTTCAATTTTATGCAAATTAGGCAACTATTTTTTTGAAATTGAATTCGAAATGAAATGACGATTGTTAATGTTCTGGAGATAAATTGATTTATGATTTACATTCGATTTGCTCAGATATAACAAGGTAGCAAAAATAATGAGAGTTACAGAATTTGTAATAATATATTTGAAATCGTTTAAAATTTCTCGGATATTTTAGTACGGTACGAAACGTTCCAGCAATTTGCCTTAAGGCACGATGCCATACACCACTAGTTTAAATCTTAAATGAAGCAGAGGTTTTAATGCCTCCTAAGCAAAAGTGCCAACTTCATTTTGTTTTAGATTGTGTTCTGACTGACTAAATGATGACACACATCGTGTGTCAAAACGTATAATTAATATAAAAAAAATTAACTTTTTTGCATTTTGACGAACGTACAGCGAACTATTTCAAATATAAATATATATCTATAACATACAATATAAAAATTATTATATATTATATTTTATTATATATATATTTATTATAGACCGCAATTTGTCCACCCTCTATTTCACTTTGCATACACACCTCAAAAGAACAGACAAACGCACGTTACATTTTACACTACACGAACCCTAGACGCACGTCTTTTTCCAAAGCACAGTAAGTGCAACAAAACATGATAACAGACAAACGAACCGTGTATTGTCTATACAAACTAATCGTAAAGTTTGTCTTTTGTTGGATCGCGCGCGCAAAATTGTGCAAAGGACTTCGGTGTGCTTACGGGACGATAGATGGTGTTAGACTGGCGCTCGTAGGACATTCGACTGACAGAATGGAGTTTATATATAGAAATATAATTGTATATATGTAATATAAATATATATATATATATAATATATATATATATATAGATAGATATATAAATTTTATATGTATTTATATGTATATATCCTTTATATTACATGGATTGATTTAAAAGTGTACGTGCCAAAAGGATATGTGTTGCAAGCAAATTATTTTCCAACAAAGGATTATCATAAGTATCTTTTGTATATTAATTAAAATATGTTTTTCATTTTGTGTTTCAACACAAATATCCTTTATTGAAGTATTCATGCCTCATACATAACAATATATATGAAGTTTAGTTTTTTATTATTTAGTTTTTGTTTGTAATTGAGGTTATGTTCAAATATATAACAAATATATATTTTAAAAAAGCCTTCCTTATTTTACTTAAAAAAGACTTTCTTTTACATAAAACCTCAAAGTTATAACCTAATCTTTATAATTAATATATAAAATTTATGTTGCCAAATTTTTTACAAAAACATAAACTTCTCCTTCGTTAAAAATATTAATCCAATATCTAAAGGATATAATAATGTTCATCATTAAGTTTGTATATTTATAAACAAACCGTGATGAATAATAATAAATATTTTTCAGGTTTTTATCAAGATAATAAATATGAAATGAATTGGATTGAAATTCTTAAGAATGTTATCATGAAATAATAATTATTATTTCATATTTCAATTATTTATCAAGAACAATGGTTTGAAATTTTTATTATTTATTTAGAATCTCGGATGTTTGGATACAATCTGGATAAATCATCTAGAATTGTGATTCTTCATTTAGAATTTTGATTATTTGTCTATAATCAGGAACAATGGTATAAAATCTTATTTAGAACCTAATTTAAGAATTTAATCTTATTTAGAATCTAATTAGAGAATTCAGTCTTATTTAGAATCAAATTTAGAAACTAAACTGAGAATCCAATTCATTTAGCATTTAGAATTTGGAATAATTGACAAATAATTGAATCTTATTTAGAATTTAATCTCATTCCGAAACTAATCTAAGAACTCAATTCATTTAGAATTTGGAATAATTGTATACAATCAGGAGCAATGGTATAAAATCTTATTTAAAATCGAATTTAAGAATTCAGTCTAATTTAGAATCTAATTAGAGAATTTAATTTCAATTAGAATCTAATTTAGAAACAAATCTAGGAATCCAATTCTTTTAGAATGTAGAATTTGGAATAATTGTATACAATCTGAAGCAATAGTAAAAAATCTTCTTTGAAATTTAATTTAGGAATTCAATCTTATTTAGAATCTAATTTGAAAACAAATCTAAGAATCCAATTCTTTTAGAATGTAGAATTTGAAATCTTATTTGAAATTTAATTTAAGAATTCAATCTTATTTAGAAACTAAACTAATATTCCAATTCAATTAGAATTTGGAATAATTGTATACAATCGGGAGCAATGGTATAAAATCTTATTTGAAATTTAAGAATTCAATCTTATTTAGAATCTAATTAAAAACTAATCTGAGAATCCAATTCTTTTAGAATGTAGAATTTGGAATAATTGTATACAATCAGGAGCAATGGTATAAAATCTTATTTGAAATTTAATTTAAGAATTCAATCTTATTTAGAATCTAATTTAGAAACTAATCTGAGAATCCAATTCATTTAGAATGTAGAATTTGGAATAATTGTATACAATCAGGAGCAATAGTAAAAAATCTTATTTGAAATTTAATTTAAGAATTCAATCTTATTTAGAATCTAATTTAGAAACTAATCTAAGAATTCAATTCATTTAGAATGTATAATTTGGAATAATTGTATACAATTGGGAGCAATAGTAAAAAATCTTATTTGAAATGTAATTTAAGAATTCAGTCTTATTTAGAATCTAATTTAGAAACTAAACTAAGAATCTAATTCTTTTAGAATGTAGAATTTGGAATAATTGTATACAATCGGGAGCAATAGTAAAAAATCTTATTTGAAATTTAATTTAAGAATTCAATCTTATTTAGAATCTAATTAAGAAACAAATCTAAGAATCCAATTCTTTTAGAATGTAGAATTTGGAATAATTGTCCATGATCAGAAGCAAGAGTAAAAAATCTTATTTAGAATCTAATTTGAGAATTTAATCTTACTTAGAATCTAATTTAAGAATCCAATTCATTTAGAATCTCGATTATTCATTTACAATCGAATAATTAATCTACAATGTAGTTCGTCTACAATCTTAATTGATCATCTGCATAATTATCTAGAATTTATCTAGATTTTTGATTCAATTCATCTAAAACATGGA